GAAAGTAACATTATTAGAACACCAAATATTACAATTGGAGATGTATTAGGATGCATGTCGAAGGTTTGAAAAAAATGTTTGCTGTGCTCTAGCATCAAACGGCAAAACATGGAGCCCACATAGAGTTGAGCTGGCGCTATGGACGCACTACATAGCATCAGAGCTCAAGCCAGAGTTGTTAGATGGTATCCCGGGCTCGACAGAGAATGGCAACTCGCACAGCGGCAATTCGCACGGCGCTTCGCTCGGCACCTCGCACAGTAACGGCGAGGCGACGGAGCCGTCGGATGACAGCAATCAAGAGACGATGGCGAATGGCAAGGAGACGCCGGCCGCGGTCGCGGGCATGCTCGATCCAGCAGCGATCGACGAGAATAGCACTACGACATCCTTCACCGAGGACTCGATGGACAAGCCAGCGACGCCGATCACTGCCGGGGATGCCGTGGTCGCCAGCGAGGACACCAACGACTCCTTAATCACCAACGATGACGACAGCAACAATACGCCGCGGCCGACCGACAGTGAAGATACCACCGACGATTCGCAGGACGCGCGGGAGCCTCCCTCTAAGAAGAGCAAGAAGTGACCCGATCGGCTCGCAACGAGCAACAACAGCGTTAGCACTTTTGTGCCCCCCCGAAGTCTGTCGATCATCGCGGCGCGTCGTCGATTTTGAATCTGGACGGACAGACAGACGGATGAACGAACAGACTAATGGACAGATGAACGAACGAAGGCACGGACGAAGGAACGAACGAACAAACATACAAACAAACGAACGGACAGACGGACGGACAGACGGATGGACGGACGGATGAATGAATGAACGAATGTGAGAGTGTATGAATGTACGAATTGTTAATGGTTGAGTGAGTATTGGAATGGACGAATGGAATGGATGGATAGCTGGCTGGCTGGCTGACTGTTTGGCTGCGTGGGCAAAGGATGGATGCGTGAATGGATGAATTGACAGACGGACGGACAGACGACATGAGTGGATGAACGAATGGCTAGATGGATGGACGGTTGGATGAATGGTTAGGATGGTTATTTGGATGGATTACAATCGCGCGATGCTTGGACCGGAGCACGGGCGCTCGCTTCATCCTCGGCTCATATGACGAGAAGAAAGGGAGCGTTAGAACCTCCAATTCTCTCTCTCCCCCTCCTCCTCCTCCTCCTCCTCCTCCTCCTACTCCTCCTCTCTCT